TGCTCCGGGAATACAGCCCAGCGGTACCAAAGCTCAGGTCCCATAACTGAATACACAACCCTCCCTTCTTTTTCATGCCCTTATCAAAATCAATGCCAAAGTACACTGCATTTTGCAGTTTTCTCAGAAATAAAATGCTGAAAAATCACCCCCACGCATATTGGAGCCTCAGCTAAAACGTGAACCATCTGTCAATTCCCCATAGCACTTGGATATTTTTTTCCCCCGTCCTACATTCTCCACTACAAAATTAGGCTGGTAATAAAAAAAGCAGTTGACACGCTACCCCAAAGCAAGCTCACCCTAAGCAATGTTCTGACATGAAACCTTCYGACTCCCGAGAATGTTAAATAGACTTGTTCGGATAATATCCATAGGGATTTGAAAAACTTCAGATCTGTTTTGCCTCTCAAAACTTGAGGTTAAACCAGACAGCCAAATCCAGACTTTGTAAATAAAGTTTTTGGGGGTGCTCAGAACTTGCTGTTCATACTGCCTTTTAAAATAAGCTTAAATGCCCCATTCGTGATCCGTCTTCATGCTCCAGCTGTCTCCTATTCCAAACTCCAGCCTTCCCAAGGGAAAGAGGCAGCACCATCCTGCTAGAGAATCAAATAATACACCTCCAGCAGGATGAACTATTGCCACAGTATAGCCCTCCCCCTAAACCAGCTTATCCTAAATGCACAGGACCCGGATGCCTGGGTGCAGGACAGATGGTGTTTTAGTGAAAAACAGACATAGTTTCAGTCTAGACTCTGTCTGTGCTTTCATTATTCCCCTTTTCAGAAATTTTATAGCAACACAGACAATTTTTTGGATGGTTGTGAGCACAAAAATACACATTTTCTCTTGGAAATATTCAAGTGAACTGAGCAAAAATCCTACAGTAGGAAACAGGATGGTCTAGCTGCTAATAGAACCCCAAGCAATAGAAAGACTAAGGGGTTTCTTCCTCTTTTTGGAGTGGTGCTGAAGTCGATCTCCTTGAATCCTTGCGCTGGGRTGAAGAAGTGTGAAGAAACATCTTGTAAGCTCTAGCAGATAAAACTAATCTATGAACCCTTGCTATTTTATTCTATCTCAGGCTGTCCCCAGCTATGCAAATACCTGATTTTGTGCCAAAAAAAAAAAAAAAAAGAAAAGAAAAAAAAAGGGTTATGTGACTCAATTACCTTGTATAGAGGGATTAAGAAGGCTTAAAGGCAAGTACAGAGGCAAAACCATCCAGTGGGGGGACATGAAAGTATGACTGTTTATTTTATGGCCAAGAGAAGATAACATTTTGCAGATGAAATATGCATGGGGTCTAGCAGAAACCCTGGGCTCTGCAGGGGTCCAGAAAGGCATTTCAGCATTAAAGGGAATAGGTTATTAGTTGAGCACGATACCATCCTTGCCATATCCGCTTAGGCCTACAGTGTTTATGCTGTAGGACACATTCTTTTATGCTTTCCGTGTTTGCGCTGTGGRGATTAATTCGACCAGGAGCTGTCGTATTTCAAGAGTTATACAGGAAAGTCATTTTCTTTATGGAAAGCCTTCCCTTTCAACCCTCCAGCATCGTTCTGCAGATGCCACCTTAAGGCACCAGCGTCTCTTTCACCACCGTTCCTTGCAGATGAGTGTGCAATGCTGTTACGTAGCAGTAACTGCATCGTATTCAGGAAGATTTTCACCTGGCAATGCTTTGAATAGAGGCTAAAAAAAAATTAAAGGGATGCAGTAGCCAAAAGAAACTATCTACATGTTTGATATAAACTGGAGAATTTTCACTGCTTTCAGTGGCCTTCCTTGCGTTTCTGTGTATCAGTGCCAACTCTCCCTTGCTGATCCTACAATGCCACTACTTCCAAAAGTTAGAGAAAGCAGCTGAATTCAAGGAGCAATTTTTCATCATGTTTGGAAGATTCTCCCTTCAACCTTCTGATTTGTATCTGGCTTAATTGTCCTACCTATTTCTTAGACTGTGAATAATTATCTTCATTTATATTGTTATTTTGAAGGTGTGTGTGGTCTGGTTTTTATGCCAGGTAGCATTGCCATCTGTTTCTTCAACAGCTACAATTCAGGATGCTTTCCACGCGAGGCAAGTAGCTTCCTTGATTAAAACAGCACAGTGCAGATAGATTTTGTTACAAAACCCTGACCCACTTCGAAGCTGTCTGACTTCTGCTGTCAGTTACTGCTCAGCCCTGGGAAGATCATCCATTACATTAAGCCACTTACAAGCTGCAGCTTGCTTTTCAGAACTCATGTTAACTGTGATTGATTAACGTAATTTAAGAAAAGATTTCCATTGGGCTTTAAAGAGGGTGATGTGATTAGCTGTCAASCCTGATCTTTCCTAACCCTGTGATAACATGTTCAGGAGAAAGTGATGGGCTACATATTTCCACTATGGCCTGGGATTTTTTTTTTTTTAAAAACATAACTAAGATTTTTTTTTTTTAATTAAAAACACTCAATCAAATCACACTGTCATAAATATATAATTACAACATAATTATGTAACCTAAACAGGTGAGATTTGGGGATGAAACAGCTAATGAAAACGTAATGCTTACACTTTAATCATATTATGTAAATTTTTAGTCAAGGTTTTAGATATTAATTATTTCAACAGCCACATGTGAAGCTGTATTACAGCATTCTTTATGTGTTTGCTATCACAGTCATATTTACAGAACTTCAGAGACTGAAAATTTGCACATTAATGACAGCCCATTCTCAACAGACACATTAACCACTCGGGTTTCCTCCCACTGTCCTTGAAGGAACCAAAGGCAACAGACAGCGCTCAGTTTATTACCTTGGGGAATTCCAGTCTTTTCCCTGACAGAAAGCCCAACAAAGAAAAGTGGCTTGGATACAATTCCCATGCCWCTCAGGCATAATTCTAGCTGAATGTGTCAGTTCTGGGTACCCTGGGGCATTGCTGAAGCATGGCAGAGGTAAAGCTATGTTGTGAGAGTGACATTACAGGTATTTTCCAGGATCGTTGCTTTCATATGCTTAAGTTTGGCTCCATTTCCACGTTCTGGAAGGGCATCAAATACTAACCATAAGAAAATGAAAATAAGCAAACATAAAATAAAATAAAATAAAATAAAATAAAATAAAATAAAATAAAATAAAATAAAATAAAATAAAATAAAATAAAACCATAAAATCATAAGGCAATGTCAACTGTGCATTGGAGTATTTAGTTGCTCTAGGCTTTTATTCATTTATTTTTTTATGCGTTGGCAGCCTCCTCTGCTACCTTGGCACAGATTATTCCTAATACAAAACTCATGTGTTGTGTGCTGGTCCCTTCACTCTTCCTGCACCTCATCKCTCCACTACAAGCTCATTCCTCCACCTTTGCTTTTCTCTCCCACCAATAAATCTTGCTTCATGTATGCTCTTCAATTTCTTTGGCSTGCGGGTCTGTCATGAGCAAATCTCTAGACCCAGCTCCCCAGTTAGCAACTTTTCCAATGAGTTATTTTGCTTTCCCAAAGAAGAAATGGGTTCCACACACTTAGCTCACAAAAATAAACTGCACAGATTTTTTGAGGATAAATGAAGATACACTTGTGAGTTTATCAGTTCTTGTGGATTCAGCAGGACTCCTCTGGAGCTTGTTAGTTTTTGGGAGACTTGTCCATGCTGCCTCCCTGCAGGCACTTTTCCCTCTTCCATCCTCTTTTTGCCTGTTTTTCTAACTACACCTGTAGGAACATCTATTGAACCCATCCACACAAAGCCACACCAAGTGGGGCTTTCGCAACATATCCATGATATAGATCGGAAATGTGAAGACTAGCTAAGCAAGGTGACAAATTTCAGACACTTTGAATAACCTACTTGTAAACAGAAAGCGTTGGCTGACCTTACCTACAGCAGAGCTGACATTTACCTATAAAGCCATGACTTAAGATTGCTTAGAAACACTTAGCTGGACATTTCCTAACCTTTACAGAGTTAAAACCTCAGTCCTGAGTTGGTCTTTCACTATAGTTTGTGGGAACCTATGCACCTTTGCACACATACAGATTCCCGTTTGCTCCCAAAGATCTGCATTTCAACAGCTTGCTATTTTGTGAGGATTTGAGATAAGGCAAACTTTGCAAAACAGGGCTTGGGGCTATGGCTCCATGATTACTAAAGTCTGGTCTGCAATAAATTCCCGTTTCAAAAGCAAAAGAAAATCAAGCACAGGCTAAACTGGTTATGTTTGGAAGGATGGTAACATATTTTCATGAAGGTGCTAAAACAAAACTCACTCAAACTCAGYGTTTGCCACTCAGGTCCTTCCGGAGTCCAGGCGGCTCCATCTTCTCCATGCAGCATGTGCACAGCTTTGCCCATGAAGGTTTTGAGGCAAAACTAGGGATTTTAGTGAGGTGAYGGCGACGCCAAAGGCCCTGCCATGGTCGTGTGGTTGCGTCTGTGAGGAAAAATTACAGAATGAATTTCAAAAGTCATTGAGAATCACTTTTTTTTTTTCCATTTGGTACTTTYATTTATGCATTTATAGAGCACTTTTATTTATTTTTTATTTTCTTCGAGGCAGGGGTTGCGCCTGTGAGGGAATGACAGTACAGCACACTAAAGCTTGGGGCCACCGCTGCAAAACACTTCGAAACTCAACAAAAAAACCATTTTATTTCGTTAGTTACATTTGTCATTATTTCTTTCCGCCCGCGGCGGGGCGCCTCGCGACTTTCCAAGCCATTTTTGGGCGCGTTTCGCGCACCTCGAGGACCCGCCGCCGCCATGGCGGCCCGCGCGGGCGCTGCCGCCGCCGGAGCGCAGCGGAGCTCGGGGGCAAAAGCGGCGCCGCGGCGCTCAGGGCCGGGGCTGCGGCTCCCCTCGGTCCCTCCGAGGTGCCGCGGAGGGCGCGGAGCTCGGCGGCGGCGACAGGCGGCGGCGGGGCAGCCCGCGCCGCTCTGAGGAAGGCCCGGCCGCGCCGCGTCGTTCCGCGCCGCGCCGGGGCCGAGGCGAGCGGCGCCGCGATGCCGCTGTACGAGGGCCTGGGCAGCGGCGGCGAGAAGACGGCCGTGGTCATCGACCTGGGCGAGGCCTTCACCAAGTGAGTGYGCCCCTCTGTCGCCGCGGCACCCGCCGCTGTCGCGACAGGGCCTCTGGGCGGCGGCCGCGTCGCGACTGCGGGGCGGGCCGGCCGCGTCGGGCCTGTTTTCGCAGGGAAAAAGCGAACGACTTTCCTGTAGCAGCCGCTTTTCTTTCATCAGGACTCACTGCGGACATAAGACCTCTTACTTCTGTCGCATCTTATCCAGGGAGGCAAAAAAAAAAAAAAAAAAAAAAACACCTTCAGTCTTTAATGATTTCTGCCCTGTTTTGGCAGGTCCCTTCCTAGGGTCGCTTTCCCCTTGGAGTTATTATGGAAAAATAACAAATTTATTGTATCCAAATATGACCGAAATGGAGTTCACAGAGTATTAGGGTGATGGATAGGCACCCCTTTATTTATTTATTTATTTATTTATTTAGCTTTAAATTGGCTTCCTTCAGCCCTTGGTGCTTGAGGCCTGTTAGGTACAGTCCATCTGTGGAAAGATAGGCATGTTTCTGAAACCTTAATTTTGGAGTTATTATTTGTATTCCATTGAATCGGAGTTGGATGCAGATCCCTCCTGTTTTGTTGGGATGAGGACAAGCTTCAGGAAGGGGAGCTCTCAGATATTTTGAAGCAACGATGAATTAGTCGCCCCAGTTGCCTGTAAAAAGGAATTCATTTCAAAGTGTAATATAGCCCCTCAGGTGGGAGTAGATAATACAGAAATGCAAAAATTCAATGATACAAAATTGGCCAATGGTAAAATAGGCAGCAGGAGTAGCGTGGGCTGGTAAGCAAAGTTACTGTTTTGCTTCTTCCAAATAAGCATCATAAAAATGAGGATTTAAAAGGGGCATCATGACTTAATCCTGCCAAGGTTTACTGAAAACTCTTCTGAAATCTGTGGGCTTGTATGGAGAAAGCAGGAAGATACTTTTCCAGGAAGTTAACAGACTATAATGGAAGTTTATGAACAGATTAATGGAGATGTAAAATTTGTAACTCAATGAAAAGTAGGAGGCACAGCGGAGTTGGACATAACAGTCCTTATGAAAAAGAAAAAAAAAAAGGTTTATGTGTCTGAGCGGGAGTCAATAAAAAGATGCAAAAAAAGATGTAAAATCTTTCTTATTTGAGATGGCTATGTGGAAAAGTCATGTGCCAAACACTTTGTCAAATTACTGTTTGATGTTTCATCAGCTAAATATATAAAATACTAATTTGGAATGATAAACTTTTCAACTTTTTCGTTTAGGTGTGGTTTTGCAGGAGAAACAGGACCAAGATGTATTATTCCCAGTGAAATAAAGAAAGCTGATGTCCCGAAGGTAAAACTTAACATTTTTTTACAAAGCTATTTTGGCTTTACAATGTGTGACATGTTAGGGTATAGCAGGAATTTTCAGAAATAAGTTTTTCCTCCATCATCAGCTATTTTTCATTATCTCGTGGCTCCTTCCACTAAATGTTATAACTGGATACAAGAAATTATTATGCCAGTATTGTTATTAATGGGTATTCTGTGGATCATGCCTGCAGCTTGTGTTTGCAGCATTTACTGAACAATTTCTTTGCCTAAGGTGTGTTCTTTTGAGAGAGGATGACAGGCTTAGAAAGGTAATGTTGAGATAGGTTACCAGTGTGAAAAAATGTCACGAATAAAATGAGCTCAGTTACACAGTGAGATTAAGAGCTGCAGCATTAATTACATGGAGCAAATCAGACTGAAATGAGCATTTTTTCATATACAATCACTAATGTTTAAACTGACTATGGATATGTTCTGTTTCCAGCCTATCAAAGTTGTTCAATATAATATTAATACAGAAGAATTATATTCCTATCTGAAGGAATTTATTCATATGCTGTATTTCAGGTAAGAGATACTTGGGCGTGTGTTACTTAAGCCTTCAGCAGCTATTTTCTGGGGATGTGGAGGGATATTACCAGTGTAATGGTATGGTTCTCTACAGGAATAAAAAAACAGAAACAGGATTTGTAGGCAGCTGCCTAGCTGTGTTCTTGCTGAAGAAACTCAGTCCTGATGAGATTCAAAATACATGCAAAGAATTAGCCCCCTGCAGCATTGGTTGATCTCTAGAAATGAAAATGTGTCTCAGTAAGTTGTCTTTTAAAAATGTGGCACACAGAAAGCATTTGATGGGGAAAATCATTATCTAAGGAGTTGTACTGATTTGTGGTAGGACTGTATATGGAGCCTATGCAAAACTCATCTCTTACTAGGGGAAAAAAATAATTGCATATGACCGTGGATTGGAAGGAGGGACCTTAGTCTGCAGAAATCTGTTCATTTTTGCTTATGTAATATATCCTTTTGTTTTATTTTTTGATACCATTAGTGTATAATGAATATGAAGTTGAATTTGATAATTTCCTTTCTCTGCTTCTGATCTTTATATTTTCACAATAAAAATCAGTGTTTGACAGGAAAAAAAAAAAAAACTTGATTTCTGTGCCTGAGTTCTTCAGGGGACGGAGAGACGATTGCAACTCAGTCCCTTAATTCTCTTTTGGGAAGTGTTGCCAGGTTTACATGTGGGGAAAAAAAAAAACTTCAAGATTTACTTTGGAAAATGCCATTTAAATGCAAATTACCAGGATTTTTGAGGGGAATGAAAAGTTAAAGTTATGTAGGTCCCATAGTACGTGCGTAAACTTACAAATTTTGCTTTGTACATCCTGTCTTTTTTAGACATCTACTGGTGAATCCAAGAGATCGTCGTGTTGTGATYATAGAGTCTGTGTTATGCCCTTCCCACTTCAGAGACACGCTCACAAGGGTCCTTTTCAAGCATTTTGAGGTACACATTTTACCTAACTACTGTATTTGCTAAGCATTATACTTGATGGTAGAAATTTTAATTAAAAACGATACAAACAATCCAAATTTTAGAAACCCAATCCAGATTTTAGCTGTAATATGTAATGATTTGGAGAATCTCTCCGTAACTGACTTCTAGGCTTGTGTTCCCTTAAAGCTTGAGAAAGCTTGAGAAAACTTGAGATATTTCAGTAACGATGTGAGAAATATCACAAGTATCAGTGATGTTGCCCTTACATGCAGGCTTTAATGAAACTGCTTATTTAATTCACTCTTCAAGGCATGATACTTAGTAAAGGAACTGTCACTGTCTAGAAAAGATGACTTAGGAAATTTTGAGAAGATACCGTAGTTTGCACACAGCTTTGGTTTGAGTTTTGACATTGCTTTGCGTAAATATTTTAAATAACCAGTCTTACTGTTTCCTGAGGTAGTGTGGGGGTTTATGTCACCTTGATTTATCTTGGAATCTTTACAGTGTGTTTCAAACAGTCATATTTTAGTTCCTTTATCTTCTCTTCAAATGACTTAGAGTTATGGTGAATTCTATWGCAAATATTTGCTTTTCTTAGAATCCTATTCTAAGGGAAGCACCTGGTATGTACCATGTTACTGAAGTACCTGGTATGTACCATGAATAAGGTGAGCATTGATTTTAGTGTCTTGTGTTATTTTGATCATCACTACACTACTTTTAAATTCTGAATTAAAATTGGATAGATACTTCAATATAATTGTTCAGATTTTGTTTTTAATATAACATTTTTTTGGGGAAATCTTGCTAATTTTGGGGTGGCTATCTGTCATATTGGTTTCCATGTAGGTACCTTCTGTTTTGTTTGCTCCAAGTCATCTGATGTCTCTCCTGACACTTGGGATCAATTCTGCCATGGTGCTGGACTGCGGATATGCGGAGAGCTTGGTGCTGCCTGTATCCTTCAATAATACAGTACCAAAAATGTTGATGCTAAGGCTCTTGTGACAAGTTGCTCTTTTATTGATGTGTTATATAAAAGTGATAGAAACAAACCACCCAATCCAAATTTTAGCTGTAGTATCTCATGAGTTGGGGAATCACTCTGTAACTGAATTCTAGGTTTGTGTTCCCTTAAAACTTAAGAAAGGTGCTATGGGACTCTGAAATGGTTAGTARCTCTATATACTGTAAATTAGTTTTGTAGGAAAGTAGTTATACCTAATTGATWAAAAAAAAAAARAGAGAGAAAAAGTGAAGTGTTTTGTTCCAATGATTTTAGACTGAAAATCAAATTTTAAAAAGAAAAGAAGCGTTGATTTCCTGAACTTCATGAAGATATATGAGGGAATCCCAATTCTGAGCTGCTGGGGTGCTCTTCCTTTGGGAGGAAAGGCTATCCACAAGTAAGTTCACAGTTTCACATCCAAGGTGGGTTGTGTTGGGAAAGTTCGTGACTGTGGATCAAAGATGCCTGTTGGACATGACTTAAATCATGACCTTTTTGTAACAGGGTAATGTTTTTTAAAATGAGCACAGTTTGGCATTTGTTGATGTAGTAARAGCTGTAGAAATCAAATCTAATTCAGTGTGTTTTTAAAATGATTTAGCTGAGTGGGATAAATACTATCCCGTCAATATAGTGAAAATACGGGTAATGTCGTGAGTTTCTAGCTGTCTTTAATTAATTWAACTTGCAATGTTTTAGGGAGCTGGAATATCAGCTGTTGGAGCAATGCACAGTTGATACAGGAGTAGCCAAAGGACAGAGCCTTCCATCTGTGATGGGTAAGGTCTTCTTGACATTGCACAAGGGCTCAGAACTTGGACTGGGGAGAGTGGGTTAATTCTAGGGTGAATAAAATGAATTCTGTATTTCCAACACATCTTACACAGTCTTACTTGCGTGTTTCCTTTATATTCTACTGATTTTATTATTTTAATAACAAGCCACCGATAGCAGTTCTAGTCTGTTCTAATCTGTTCTAAATCTGTTTGCAGAGAAGACAAAGTCTTTATTTCTTTTTTCAATAATCCTTCTTTCTTAGAGATTTTTAAAAGTTACTGTTAAAATGGAAGCTCAGTATTTTGGAACTGAATGTAATTTGATTCTTGAATTTTCTTTCTACTTGAGATGCTTTTGTTTTAATTTTTTTTTTCATTGCAGGCTCAGTTCCAGAAGACATAGTCGAGGATATAAAAGGTAAAGTTTTTTACTTTGAAAAATCTTAGTTATGCTCTAGAGGAGAATGTGTTAATAGCAAGTGTGCAGCCCTTCACTTTTAGGAATTTATTTTGTCTTCTGTTTATTGTTTTTGTTATCAAAAGAGTTTGCAGTGTTCTTTCTCTTTGAAGCAGACACAAAACTATGCTGAATTCCTTTCAGGTTTCGTTTCAGCATGTCAARGTCTAGCTCATAGTTACATTCTGTAGATTAATGCAATAAGAGCATTAAACTATTGTATTTTAAAAATAATAAATGTTGRTATTAGGATATTAATGTTAAAGTACTGTATTTTGATTGGCAGGCCAGGTTAAATTCGCATTGCATTTTTAAAATTACTGATTTTTTTCTGTTTATAAATGTGTACAGAATGTGTTCTGCATGGGACTTTTTGAAAACTGGTATTACTTTAATTTTCTTATGTCATGATACAAGTTTGTTTTAGTTTATATATAAAAGGAATTTTGTATGTTCATCAGGTAAGCAATATGAGTCAAAGACTACAATTACACTAGAAAAAAAAAAGGATATAGTCTTCGTGGAGAACTTAAAGTTCCTGTGTGAAGTTTCATATGCAGTATAACTAAAAATAGACAAACAGGACACAATGTAGTGTGTATCTCCTACTGAAGGAAGAAACCCCTCAGTCAAGTACAAAGTAACTTAAATCTGGCTTTTTTTTTTTTTTTTTTTTTTTTGTCAAATGGAAGTTGCTCTCATTAGTTTCTGGACTCAGACACAGTTTTCCAATTGATTCTGAGTTTTACACAGTCTTTTGTAACCAGATATGATCTCCTGGTGTTTCACACTTGCAGTATGAAAAATGTTACGTGATTAATGAAAAATTTTTGACAATGAGGATGGCRGAGCACTGGGACAGGCTGCCAAGAGAGGTTGTGGAGTCTCCTTCACTGGAGATCTTCCAAACCCTCTTGGACACAATSCTGTGTAACACAYTCTAAGTGACCGCACGTGTGCAGGGAGTTGCACTAGGTGATCTCTAAAGGTTCCTTCCAACCTTAAGGTTTCTATAATTCTATGATTATAGATCATGTTTAAAAGATGAGCAGTGTCTCATTTGAAGTCCTGCTGCAAGGCAAGGTTTGTGTTACAGCAGAATGCTACCCCTGCCACCTCCTGGTAGCTGAAGGACAGGAATGATAATGTCCCTCTGACTTTGTCTTGTGTAGTTTGTTTGAGATAGATACCTTCCATGTCCTGGCATATTTTTGGTGTCAACTTCATTTAAACTCTTGGTCTGGAGRGATGAACTCGGCTAAGGTGTTAGTTAATAGGCCTTCCTAGTGCAAGAYGTTAAAATAGGTGCTGATCTCTAAATGAAGATTATTGTCTGTCTTGGTGGTGATGAAACGATTCAAGCAAAGTCTCTGCTGCTCCTTCCTTTCCTTTCATAAAGTCCGCACTTGTTTTGTGAGTGATCTCCAGCGAGGACTGAAAATCCAGGCAGCCAAGTTCAACATTGATGGCAGTGCCGAGGTGGGTGGAGAATGATGTTTGACTTAATCTTCTGAAACATGTTTTGAAATACGTATATTCTTTTATGCTTTTAAAATAACGCGTGTCTGTGTTTGTTTGTAGCGTCCTTCTCCGCCTCCAGATGTGGACTATCCATTAGATGGAGAAAAGATTCTGCATGTAGTTGGCTCTATCAGGTTAGAAGTACAGTAGCCAAGCGTTTATCTTTTAGGGAAATATATTTTCAATTYTAACAGCATAGATAGCAACAGGATAGGAGAGCAATAAGGTTTCCTAAAATTGAATTTTAATGCAATGTTTGCACAGTTTTTTACATCTCTTAAGTTAAACCCTTAACTCTAAACTCTTAAGTTTTGCGTCAGCCCAGTGCAAGGCTGCAGTGTAAGGTGTCTGCTGCGCCAGAGAGCTCACAGCTGAAGTGAGAGCCAACAGATTGAAAGAAAGGGGGAAGACAGGGAGTTACTTGGCATGTTGAGGCATGACGAGAAAGGCGTAGCACAGTAAATAGGGTGGTGATGTTGTGCCAGCAGCAGGGAGCTTGCAGTTGTTCCCAGCCTTGCTGTTAACTCATTGAGATGCAGTGCTACTGTATAACACTCATTTTCTGTCTTCTCAACAGAGACTCAGTTGTTGAAATACTGTTTGAACAGGATAATGAAGAGAAATCTGTTGCCACTTTAATCCTCGATTCACTCRTCCAGGTATCTTTATATTATAAACAACTGCCTGCACTCCTTGGGCACTACAGAGCCTGTTCTTGCAAAGTGCTTTTTGTAGAGGAACAAAAACCTGTGAGTGAAGTTAACAGATGGTTTAAAATCACAGCATACCTTGATTCCTAAGTTGTGCTCCGTGATTGGAGGTATCGGGGAGCAAGGCACAATGTGTCAACCATCCAGGGAAACATCTGTGAATGTTTTCTTACTCTTTAATGTACTGCAATGTATCTGGGACAGTTACCTGTAAAGAAAAGAAGCAATGCAGCACTCAACATGCAGCAAAAGAGACAAGCTAATGTTTATTTTAGGGCAATATAGAAATTATAACGCTTAAGCTTGAGTGAAACAGATGCTTCTATCTTTTTTTTTTTCCAGGGTATTTCACCTAGAATTAGACTGCTAGAATGTGTCCTACAAGATGCTTTTTACTAGAGATGATATCCGTCTAATCTGGACATCTCTATTATCAGGCAATATTTTAGTTAAGTCTTGGAATATTTTTTGGCAAACACTTTGCAATCATTTCATGTAGTGAGAGAAAAATGGAGTATAAAACCACTCTGAAGGAAGTTTTTGTTATGATTTTCTGCAGTTATTGTTAGTTATTGCAGTTATTAGTTAATAACTGCAGTTAGTTAACTGCAGTTATTGCAGTTATCGTTTAGTTTAGTTTGCAGATATATAGTTTGCTTGAGGGCCATCTACTTGAATGTCATGTTGGGCATTTCCATTAGAAGTCCTCGTGAAAACAAACGATTTAACAGGATCCCCCCACTGTCCCTCTGGGTCTTCACCCTTGMATCACTCTTGCTTCAACCAGAACAGACAGATGTTGAATAATGTCCAGTTACTTCTGCTGGACAAGAGGGACTCCATCAGTCTGGATTATTTTATTTTTTAAGAGACAATATAGATCTGTTTGTGAGGGACAAAACTTGACTTTCTCCTGCCTTTGTATTTTGTAATTAGATTCTTTGATGCTTAAGGCAAACTCGAGCTGAAAAATTTTCCTTCTGCCGTTGAGACTTTTGTAACATCTCTCCCTCCCACGTTGATTACTTGGAGCTAAAAAGAGTCAAGCTCATAAGTTACACCTTTTTTTTAGCTCTCTGAGCACACTGCTTGAGGTTCTGCCTCAGTTATTCTGCCAGAGCTCATGGAAATTATTGTCACTGCCATCCCTGTCCTCTCTTGTCTTGACTGCTCTTGGCTTAAATGTTTACAGGGGCTCACAGACTCCCTTAAACTTTGTTTTCTTGAGAAATCTGAGTAGAAATTGATGTCGGTTATATGGTTCTGTGATACGTGAGAAAACAATGCAACTTTATAGGAAGTCTAACTGAATTTCTAACAGACCTTTGAATATTTGTACCTGCGACGTCAGTTCAGGACTTTTGTTTATTCCCTTTTGCTTTAGTGCCCRATAGACACCAGGAAGCAGCTGGCGGAGAACTTGGTGGTTATCGGTGGCACTGCGATGTTGCCAGGGTTCCTACACAGGCTAATGGCCGAAATCAGGTACCTGGTCGAGAAACCAAAATACAAAGAGGCTCTCGCCACTAAAACCTTCAGGATTCACACTCCGCCTGCCAAACCCAACTGCGTGGCATGGCTGGGAGGTAAGGAAGGAAACCACTGCTAAGCCAAGGGGCAGAGTGGAAGGGAAACCTTCCTGCCACATGTAGCAGAACAATTTGGGTGACTATTCCAGAGTAAAAACCCCCTCGGGGACATCTGGAGGGGGAAATGGCACCGCAGCCCTGCCGGACATTAGACAGGCAAGCAGTCGTTGGAAGCAGCAGAGTTTGGGGGGAGTTGTTGATGCGAGTGCATTACCCGGGTACTGCCATTTGGTGGCACCAACAAAATAATTAGCAGCAGCAGAGCCTTGCTGCAGACTGGAGTATCTGTTTAATTACTCGCTGAGAAGGTGCTGGGTGTGGGCCATGCTAGAGGCTCTTCACTCCAAGTGCTGCTCCCAAGTGTCTGTGTTGCTGCTCTATAATGGATTTGGGATGTATTGATGTGTCATGGAAACACATATGGTCAGGAGGGACCTGGCTTTGCTTGCAGCTCTTTCCAAGGGGTTCTGAGGTTGGCAAAAATTCCCTCTTTTTTAGTCGTTCAGTTAACAGTCGAGCCCGTCTGGTGCGTAGGAGGGCTTAAGTTGGACGGTAAAAATAGATTTTTGTTTCCATATGTTCTGAAACATAAATATTTATCAAATTAAATTTTAAGCCCCTGTTAGTCTAGTTCTAGGAGTAGCAAACAAGGATGGGTTTTGTGCACCAGGATCCCTGATTTTTTATTTATTTTTAATTATTAATAGCAGTGTTAGTCAGCTGCTGTYGTCTAGCTCTTCCCACAACCTGGTATAAACCATTTCTTAGAGGTACTGAGTGACTCCCTTTTTGGGGAGAGGAAATTCTCCTCCATCACAAACACTGGTTTGAAGTGCTTAAACCCAACATTTCTAGGAAAGGCTTTTTGTAAAAGCAGGTCTCCTGGGCCCTTTTCTTTCTTAGCAGAGACTCRATGAAACAATTCAGTGCTAGCCGTGCTGTGGAAAAAGGAAGGGGAGAAGATCAAGCGCATAATCCTCTTAGTGCTATAATTTAGGGGGAAGGAACTGAAAAAAAAAGCCAACATTCTTGATATGAAGAATTAGAGTTTAAAAACAAACAAAAAAACCCAACAAATAATGCAAAATTATTTGTTTCCATAACACAGGAGCCATTTTCGGAGCGCTTCAGGACATCCTTGGGAGCCGCTCTGTGTCCAAGGAGTATTACAGCCAGACCGGCCGCATCCCGGACTGGTGCTGTCTCAATAATCCCCCCCTGGAAATGATGTTTGACGTTGGAAAAGCGCCCCCGCCGCTCATGAAGAGGGCCTTTTCCATGGAGAAATGAACATCCAAACACTACACAAAGGATTTTTCTTTTCTGTATTAAGAAGTTTGTGTGTAACACTTAACTGTAACCTCTGTGCCTGTTTCTTGGGAGCATAGTGGTAGGTAAGAACACTCCACTCTAGAGCTGTATCCAGYAACAGTTTAGAAACTTAACCCTGGCAAATAACATGGTATTTTGTCCTCCTTTGAGGAAAGTACATGTAGTCATGAGCTGTTACCTGTTTGTTTGCTATTTATCTGTAAAGTAAATTAGACTGTAGAACAAATTTGTTTCAAGACACTTTTATTTTAACTACACTTAGAAGAATGAAGGACGGTCTGCTGCGGGAAACGCCTGTGAATGTTTTCCTGCCAAACTCTGCATAAAATATTTCAGCCATGAAGTCATTGGGATCACATGTGAGAACCTGTAGGAAATGGTTTGCTTTGCTGGGGTGATATTTACCCTGGACAGAGTCCTGTTTTCTGAGATTTAGCAGATTTGTGTTTAACTTGTCAGACAGTGCAGAGCTCACAGCTCTCCTCAAATCTCTGCTCCAAGAAAGGCATCAGTCATTTGAGAATTAAAATTAGAGGTGCTGGGAGAACTTGACTGTCTTATGTCGCATTTTAGAAGTCACTTCTTTCTCTTCCTTCCCCCCACATCAAAAAATACTAAAATTCTTTGTCCTGCAGCAGTATCTCTTAGATGGAAATACAAAGCAGAGCTGTGACAGTGTGCGATAGCTGGTTGATACAGAGCCCAAAAGCAATAAAACACCTAATAATCTAAATAGGGAGTCAAGGGAGTGTTTTGTTCCCTGCTCCTGGGATAAGGAGCCAGGTTCCTTTCTGGCTGATGCTGCATAGTTATTTTTCCTGCATATCCCTGTGAAGGAGCAGCTGCAGCCTTGTGGAGTTCAGTACTGCATTTTAATTACTCTTAAAACGACTCAGTTCACTATTTAAGAAAAGAAAATGCACATTTGGATATTATCACTATAATTAGCAAGTGATGGGCTATTAAAAGGTTCTTAGCAATGCTGTAATCTTACATATTGAAGGAAAAAGGGGAAAACCCAGCCGTTACTGGTCAGTGTTCTAGCGCATCGTATGTGAGTTGTTGCTGGCTGGTCACGGTGGCCTGGTAGCGCTGACATGAATAGTTGCCCTCCAGCTCTGTTTTTAACAGTTTCCTTACTGACGTGTTAGCTTCAAACRGGGTGCTCGGCTGCCACGCAGGAAAGCTAAGCAGCAGTTAGTGATTTAGAGGGGTTATAGCCCGTGGATGAGTCTGCCCTTTCAGCGATGGTGGCCCAGCCTGCCGAGGGCCCCGGGCCCATCCAGCACCGCCTCGTTGTGCTGCCGCTGCCCCAACACTTGGTGTCCAGGTTGAACCTTTTGCAGAGGTGGCTGCCGCTCCAGAGACTCCCGCAGCAGCCCCAGGCCCCTCCCAGGGTGGTGGGAACCTGCTCCCCAGAAGCAGGTTCTTGAGCACAGACCAGGATCCTTCTGCCAGGCCTGGGGCTGCTCCTTAGCACTGCTTTAAGCCGAGGGTTGTTCTGGTCTTGCCTTCTCGGTCTCAGGTTGTTCTTGAAGGTTGCTGGTACCATTTTTATAYAGGAGGGTGCTCCATCCTCCTCCTCCTTCCCATCTCTGATGCGATTAGACCTGAAAAGAAGCTCTCAGGGTGCCAGGAGCTRTGCCTGACTGCTCCTGGTGCTCCGTTTTCCTTTCAGCAGCTCCCAGGTGCCCTTTCTCCCTGCATTCCCCCCGGTCTCCCGGCCAGGACCTCCCCCGGGCTCTGCTGGCCCAAAACAACGTGTAGACGGCCGGGGGGCGCGTGGATGGGGATAGGGAGTGCCCSGTTCCAGGCCGCTTGTCGCAGCGGCGGCAAAAGAGCCATGCGCCCAACGTGGGGCTCGAACCCACGACCCTGGGATTAAGAGTCCCATGCTCTACCGACTGAGCTAGCCGGGCGCTGAAAACCCGCCCCCTGCGCGCACTCTTGGCGGGGCCGTGCGCGCTTCATGACGTCACCAGCGGCGCTCCGCTCCGCCCCCCACCCGCGCCACCTCCTTCGCGCCGGGGAGACTTGGGCGCTGATTGGGCCGCCGCGCCGCCCAATGGGAGCGCGCGTTGTTGGGCCGTGAGGGGAGCGTGAGTGAGCGGCGGGGCGGCGGGCGCGGGGCCTGGGGCTGCAGAGCGGCGGCGCCATGAGCTCCATCGGCACCGGGGTGAGCGCGGGGGCCGG